TCCTCGAGAGCCTGACGAAGCTGATCTTCGGTATATTGAGGCATTATATATAGAAGAAGACATGTGCAAAAGATGAGCCCATTTGGACGCGAATTGAAAATGTTGTGATAAAAGGAGGTTGGGGGTGGGCATTGGGTTGTGGTGGATTTTCGCGTTTTTGTGGGTGCCAGAAACAGGGGGGTGCCAGGAAGTGGGTATGTTGACTTATTGCCCGAATGAAACGGATGTGGCGATATCGAGTCGGGCAGCGGGTTGTATGCGGATGGCCTCATCTCGGCGCTATGGTGACAGGTGTCACCGCCCATGAGGATGAAGCTATCCGGGCCGGTCGTCACTCGTGCAATAGCGTTAACATGGCCAACGGTATGACCTGGCGCGTCCAGAATGTAGAAGCTTCCGTCACCGAAGTAGTCGATGGCAGGAAACGATCCGACTTTGATAGTTGACTCGGCGAAGCTCAGTTCACGGAGTTCGCGGCCGGCGAAATCGGAATCAAGGACTGGGGACCCTGGGTTCGTAGGGTAGCCCGGCATGATAATGTCCTTGAAACCCGGGCCAACTATCAGCGAAGTGCTTGTGGGAAATCTGCTCGGATCGCCGATATGATCCCAATGCCAATGGCTCCAGATGATGCTCTCGATTTCACTTGCTTTAACCCCGCCTTCTTCGAGGATCTCTCTCAAATCCTTCTCCACGCTGCACGTCGTACCACTCTCTTTCATCCAATCCCGAATAGGAGGTGAGAGATTTTCGAAGTCTTTGCGCACCCCGAGATCGAAGAGGACTTTGCGGCCAGTGGTTGGGTGCTCGACGAGGAAGACGTATGAAGGACACGACAGCCACGAATGACCTTTGATGACGTGTGAAACCATACTCTCCATGCTCACCCTAATCTTCGATGTCGAGTCGATAACCCTAACATTGACGGTCGAAGCAGATGGCGGTACGCGAAATTTTGATAAAGGCATGGTGGCGAACTTCCGGTCCAATGGACAATTTTGGATATACTGCGGTCAAGGAATCCAAGAAGTTTCCATGGTTATTTACTGATCTTTTTCCTCAGTGATCATATCGTCCAGGAGCACCCAAAGCAAGACTGAGAGAAATCCGGCACTCGGTACTCGGCACACGGTGGTCTTGTCGGCACTAAAGAGCCTGCATTTTTAAACGTCCCAAAGTAGTATCACTTCGTGAGCATAACTGTGGGGATATAAACGGCATGTGGAACATCGAATCTAATCCCAAAGGAGTTACAGTTGGAAATGTTGCTCCGTAACACAATGTCTATTCGTACAGCTTTAGTAACTGGATCCGCTAATGGCATCGGCCGAGCCATAGCACTGGGCGCAAGATGGTTTCCAAATAGCCATTAACGATCTTGCTAGCCAAGAAGTCAAGTTGAGAGAGCTACAGTATGAGCTTGAACTGAAAGGTCAGCTCATGGATATAAGCTTCTCACACATTCCACCCACAATAGCTGACAATGTGGAGGCGTGCGGACTGCTGTCCTTAAGTCAACATACCCACTTCCTGGCACCCCCCTGTTTCTGGCACCACAAAAACGATGGGATCACAACCCAACCTCCTCATTACTATTAACTATTGATCCTCAACCACACCCACTACAATACAGCTGCCAGCCTCACTAGGGCATTCAGAGTCGCTGGATTCAGCCGTGATAACCTCCTTTTCACCCGCTTCGATTTGAGCCCGATGGATATCCCTGATGTTCGCGAACTTCGTATTGGGATCG